AAGCCAAAGCAGCATCCTACCAAAAGGACCAAGACCGCGCAAGATTCTTCCTTGTCCTATCCTCTACACTTACACAATTACGAGCACTACAAACGTCGGGACACCATTCGGGGCTTAGAGCTTTTCTCGGCTGGGCGGTGCCCCGGGGAAAATCACCGCAAGCCTACGTGATCTGTCGGCACCGGATTTCGCCATTAGCGGGAAAGATCACCGACACCTTTCGGGATAAAAGGTACGGTAGTGAATATAAATGGAATTGCGTATTGGCCACTAAGGACCTAGTGAACAGTAGACGTGCAGGAAACTTCAATCAACAATACAATCTTGAATTTTCGGTCGTAAATTCAGAGGCTGATCCAGAGACGAATTTTGGGAGGGGACATTTTTTTATTCAAAATGTTTTGGTCGAATGTTTCATACTACAGATTATGTGGAAATATGCAGTCTAAACTCAGCTCATGATACGATACAATTTTATTCGCTTTAATATTTATACGAAAATAGTTTTACTTGAAAGTTTCGTGACAAGTTAAAATTAATAGTTACTGAAATATTTTGGGAAGGAAAATTTCCCTCATTTCGTTCCCGGCGGATCCGCACCTGCAACTTTCATGTCTAAGATTCTTTTGTGCTGTAACCTCGCACACACGTCAGTATTAAGATCAATCAGTGCTATTCTAAAGAAGGTAAAGATTGATGCAGATGCCGGGAAGATATACGCTTCGTATCCGAAACTCGGGATTTCTGTATGGATGGAAGGATGGATGTCGCACATAACGTAGACTAGGAGCATTAAGCAGAAACTTGCTAAATTTGTTAGAAAAATCTCTAAAGTTTTGCAGATTGCAGAAGTTCAAATTTATTTTCGAACCTTATTTTCGAATGAAGTCCACTGTAACTGGTTGCAACCGCAGAAGGCGGATTACAATCGGTGACATGATCCTCGTATATTTGACTGAAGCCCAACACTTGCATTTCACCTTGTTGAGCTGCTGGTGATAAATCTAGACGTTACATAATTATTTGTGCGGTAATTTGCGGACCGCTCTACAACTTCGCGATAGGAGATAATGTCGCTATCGCTAAATCGTTGTTAACGTCCTTCGAAGTCTTTTTTATTGTATGAAATGTTATAACAAATGATATATTAAATACCAGGCTTACAGGTTTTTAAGTGTTTACTGGGAAATTAACTTATCAACGAATAAGACAACACTTCCCAATGTCATGACAGTAAATACTACCGTAGCAAGAATATAAATCTTGAAATTATTGAATGGTTTTCAAATTTGAAGTGATATATCATTTTTTTTAAAAAAAAATATGTTTATGCATGTTGTAGGAACACTTCTATTTTCGAAAGCACCTTTCTGGGGTAATCAAACACTTGCTTCTTGATTAAATGATTTTGGTAACTCATTATAGGAAGAGCATTGTTTTATGTTATTGTAGTAAAATACATTCTTAATTACAAATGGAAGACAACTAGCGGAAAATCTTACAATTTGGGAAGTGATTGGGTGCCATGGAGAAAATTTGGAAAAGGGCGAAAATATGACTAACAAGTAAATTTACTGACTCCACTGAACAATAAAATAGTTCCCCCTCCTTCATACTTGTAAACATTAGGAGTATGAAGCAAACGGAAGCAGCGGAGAATCCAGCAATTTCATCAATACGAAACCTTTCCTTCACAGTATATTATCTTTCGGATTAAGTTTCTACGTCCTAAAGGGCAACATTGTAGCGCATATTTCGAATGAAATGTACATCAAAATACGAACGATTATATATTTTCAATGTGATGAGGCTTATGGACTATTTGATTAACAATAATTTTACATATATAAATATATTTGATGACATTTCAAAAAAAAAAAATTCTAATATTTTCTATCCCAAGCTCAGAGTCCCTTAAATTTGGGGACTCCAAAGCAATTACTTATTTTTGCTTATTCGCAGATTCAAACCTGAAGGTGAGGACTAGTTGGGTTCTCCGAGAATCGGCTGTCCGGCCCCACTGACATCATGACTGCGCCAGCCCGATTCCCGGCGTCACGTGCTGCCACTCCCACTCTTGAATTCATTCACGCTTTTTGCAGGGTTTTCTTCCTCTCTCTCTCTTTTTAATTATTTACTCTTACTACCAGCTTTGATAAAAACTATTGACGCATCAACACCATGTACTTTCTCGCAAATAATATCATTTTATTTGACATTATCAACACGTTTCAGCCATTAACATTCCAGCCAAAAACTTATTACTAATCGGAGCGCTTGAGGTGCAAAAACATCAACACAAATTCGATAACACAAAACTGCGTCCTATTCAGCTGGAAACCCAACCTATCACCCAACAATTACAAGTAATACTGTGAATTTCGAACTGCCATGTCGCGGCGTTACCTTTGTCCCATTACAACGATATCTTGTGAAAGACTTGTCTTCGACAAAACAAGCGCAAGATTTTCGAATTTGAAAAAAAACGCGAAATTATACATATTTTCAAAAATAGGAAATTGACTTTTGTTAAAAATATAATTTTGAAGGACACATTTCCATAATTAAAAAATCTCTTTAATAAATATTGTAGTTTTGCGAAGTTAATTTTTTGCAAATTTCGACATTTCAGAGACTTTACGGAACATGGAACCTGCGGGACTATCACTATTCGAAAAAAGAAAGAAAAATTTTGGAGCTGTTTTTTGTTTTTAAATTATCTTCATATCACGCCAAATTACGCAATGACTGCTCATATTTTTTGAATCATTGTAGGATATCATATTTAAAGAGCTGTCTTTGAAGACAGTTTTAGGAAGACGCTGAAAAAAATTGAACTTTTGCAATTGTCGAACATTTAGAAAACTAAACGAAAATGGGAACTGCCCCATTTTTAAGGACGTACTTTGCTTTATCAAAGGAAAAAATTCAGAAAAAAATTGAATTATTTTTCTCAGAGAATTTTGAAAATGTCGTTTGAATTTCGTGTAAAGTACCCCAAAAAATCAAATATTCACTGCATTTCAGGCATATACGAATGCCTTGCAACGTTGACATTAAGAGCAAATAAAATGAACTATGAAAAAATAATGGTGATACATTAATTAAATTAATGTATCACCATTATTAATAAGTAATTAAATTAAGGCTTAATAATAAAGCTTTCCTGAAGGTCAAAATGAGAACTGAAAATTGGGTGCTATCGATTATTGTAGCAAACACTTCAAAGAATATGCATTGTAATATATTCTCTAACGAATACTTCGACCGATAATTTCAATACCCATTGAATGTCTTCAAGTGAAATAAAGATGCTCTCGATTGGCTTCGCATGATAGCTAAAAGAATAAAGGCAAATCCATACTTATTTATTAGATTGACTTCATCCACTGTCTGGAGAAGAATTCTAGCGGCCAGTTGCAGTGACCGCATGCTAGTTTTCCCGGCTTTCTTCGATCAATACCACGCGAACGTCGAGCAAGCCACGGACCGCACCTTGCCCCTATCCTCTCACCTTACACTTACATACTCTCCTTGCCACACGCAGCCACGAGATGAGATTTTGTGCCATGCTACATTCTGACCAAAGCTTGTTAGAGGAAATAATCCACTATATGTAAGAACAAGAATTATCCAAAGCCTCGTTGCTATTTTCAATTTTTTCTCAAAAATAGTTCCAAATTTTTTAGATTTTTTATCGAAGAGAAAAAAGTGCTGTTCAGATTTTCGTAGAATTCCCTAAATTTTCGAAAATTGCAAAAGTTCCACATTCTTTTTCAGGGTTTTCCTACAACCACAATATTTAAGATAATGCTTTTTTTCTTCTAAATGAAAATCATTTCTTCAGAATTAGATCTTTAAAGGAAATACGTTTAAAAAAATTAAAGCAGTTTTCACGTATTATTTCGTGATATAAAGGCTATTGTCTAATCGAGATTTTCTCAAAAACATTTTTGTATAGAGAGTGCTAAATGCACTGAAACACTTACTTTCATGTATCCTTTTGATTTTTCAAAAATTACACTTTTTATGTATCTCTCAAGTCGTTAATATTTACATTACGGTAATTTCTATATATAATTAAATTTGTGAGCTCAAGTGCCTCAAATGATTTATGAAGATCCTCGAAATCTCAAGACTTTTCTGTGAAAATGAGCTCAAAATTGCAGCTTTTCAGAAACGCTCAATATCATCACGACAGAGAACGACAATTTTTTGTATTGCTGCTTTAAGGACTACACTGTATTCTTCTACGATATTACTGGAATCAGGTGTTATGGGACCGAAAATGTGAATTACGAAGAAAGTTTTTAGGCGCGGATAGGTAATAACTGGGAAAGTGGGACAATACCGAAAAACTAGCCTACACTAAAGATTGGATAACTACATAGCGCAAGAAAGATTCTGACGCTGTAGCACCACAAGTTTACTTCGTCACCCTCTCCCAATCAAATGAGGAATCAGGAAACCAAACGTTTCCTGATACATCCTCTTGAAATGGCTTCTTCGTCTTGCATGACGGTGATTCATCCACAAAATATCTATATAGTCGTGGCGATAATTGGCAATTGGCATGTTCAGGTATCTCATGTAGCTAGAACAGAACATTACCATATTTTTCGAAACTAATTGTCGCTGAACGAAACACATCCGTAAATCGACGATACAGTCCCGTACATTGATTAGTGATAAAATTAATGAAAATACAGGATATAGCTCTGCGTTAAAAAAAAAACCAACTACCCCACGTTTATACTATAAAGCCATGAATTGTGATTAACAATCGTACGGGGTTTTAATTTGACAAGAATGACAATTTATGGCGGCTCCTGTTGCGCAAAGCTTCACTTTGAGCACCCAAATCACCGGTGAATACAGATAAAGTATGCAATGGAACACCGGGAAATTAATTACGTAAACCTACATTTTCCATTGCTTGACGCCTGCCTACCAATCCTTCCCAGCACACCACATTCTTGCACCATGACGCACGTACTCACCGGGGAGTGCCACCCGTGGAACTCTTCCACCCAGTACGGCTGGAAGGGCAATAAGGGCTAGCAATAGCCATTCCGTTTGCTTTACCATCACGATTCGACCTCTTCTTGCCGGTAATGAACTTGAAATGAGTTCTAGCTCATCGTAATGTCTTATCAAATCTTATCGAAAGATGCCTCATCAGTTCCAAGGATGGGTTTATCAGAGCATTGCACATTAAATAGTATCATGTCTAATTTGTCATTTCGAGGTCGTGGACCTACTTTTTCTATGTGAAAATTGCCACTCCCTAATCGCAAAAAGTTGAAGCAAGCCCGTTAATAAAACGATAACTTTGCATTTTCAATTACAATTCAATTATAACTTTGTCTTAAGTCTCTTATCTAAATAATTCCCCTCACTCTCCACATATCAAAGATTAATGAGAAATATGATTGATAATACGTGCTGTTCTTTATCCACGTCAAAGACAGCAAAAACTTGTGAAAATGTAAAGGCTCTTGTTAAATCACAGACCAATTAAATTTGCCTGAATTGTTTTTAAAGCAATGATCCTTAAATATCCGCTCCGAATATGACTGATGCATGGCAATCCCAGGCCATCATTTTCCCATACGTGTTCGCAGTCTAAAACAAGGAGGGATGGTCTACATTCTGGTCCCCTTTTCCAATAAACATTTTTATTTACTTTCACAACAATAGTAGTAAATAAATAGAACCTACAGAAGAATTACATTATAATTTTAATGTCATTTAATATAACTGTTTTAATGTTGAAATCATTAAAGAACTGCCACTTGGTTTAAGACAGGGCTTTCCAACTTGCGGCCCGCCAAATCTTATGCGGTCCACGACTGCTTTGAAAAATTTTATTATAAAACAAAATGTTTTTTAGTTATTGTTACGCATTTTCATAATTACATAACTATAATTATAAATGTGAAATAACCCTCAACATTGGTAGTCAACTAAAGGTCTTCTACTATCGAGATCTGTTCGATCCGTTTCCTTTTAGCTATCCTCTTGATGTTAACATTAAAGAGCAAGAACCTTGCATTCTATTCGAACTATGTGATTTACAAGCGGATCCTTTCTTTCAGACAAAGCAAGAAAAGAGATCAGATGTTTTCAAACTCTCGCAAAGATGTCCCAACCTGTGAGATCTGGGGATGACATCAGTGTTTGGTAGCACATACATTAGTGATTTTTTTTCTAGTGAATTTAGTGAATTTTGTTAAAAATAAAGATAGAAGTAGCCTCAATGATTCTACCCTCAGTCACTTCATGAGGTTGGCTACAACAGGGCAAAAAGAGGACATAAATTAGTTGGTCAATGAAGCTGAACACTTATTCTTTTCACCGAACAATTGAACAATTCTTTCATCTCATTTTGCACACATATACATGTATACCACAATATATCTGCTATATATAAATAATAAGCCGTGGTTTAAGAGAATCTGTTCCCCAAATTGTCTGCTTATGAAAAGGAAAATGCACAATTAATCATATCGATGGAAATAACGTTTGGTTACAAGACTACTTTACCAATTGAAGGGGGTGGGGGGTGGGGGGCACAGACCCTGTATGCACACACTATTAATTTTCCTTCACATTTTCAATTGCCATTTTTTTTAAATTCAAATTCTTCAATGGCTGCGTGGTGAATCATCCACTTTCATGTGGAAATTTCTTTTAAATAGGGTGGTCTTTCACGTAAATATTGCTGAAATGACTGTGGGACCAGAATTCCAGCAGACACTTTAATTTTGATATATCTTGCCTGAACAATTTTTTACAAGAGAATTCAGCATGAGAATGTCATTTGGCACATTCAAATGCAATTTAAAATTCCAAATTGGAACTTTACCAAATTAACTTGACAACACTGCAATTAATTTACCTCATTTAATCATAGAAAGAGCCCCACTGCAGACTTTCTATGGGGAAACAAGGATCATGATCAGGAGGCAGATTTTGATGATATAAAAACATCACCAAAAGTAGTCAATAAAATGCTCTTACAAGGTTTTAAAATGTCCTATAACCAAAGAAAAATGACATAAAAAATGTGATCACAACCAGTTTGGATGAACAACTCAATCTACTGGAAACGTTACTGTTGTAAACGTTCAAGCGAACTCTGCTTTCAATCTTTTGGTTTGGACTGTTTTTTACCAGGTAATCTGTCTTTAGTTATCCCAAAATAGACTGAACGGACAATGACACTGATAGGTGTCACAAAAATATTAGATTACATTCTCACATTCCAACATTCTCACATTCAGACATTCCAATTTCTGAGTGAAGAAATAAGCTACTCGGGATTTCTGTGGAGAACATTGTTGCATCTCGTAAATATTATTTGAAGCAAGTACCATTAAAACAATATTAAAATGGGTGAAATCAGCAAAAACTGCATTAAAAATAACAGGAAAGGTAAAAATGACTTAGTCGAAATCAATGAAAAATGTGAAAACGAAAAGAAAAATCATTCAATTTTTTTGTCAAAACTAGACTTTGAAATTTCTGACACATACCTATTTATTTCCTTAAGGAGGTTGTGGAAAATAATTGTAGACGTTTACGAATCATGAGAAAAGTAGATTTACTAAAAGCATCTTATAGTGCCTAAAATGTCCTTAAGCGACAACTGATACCTATTTTAATATTATTATTTATATTAATTACTATTTTTTTAAAATTTGTTTTACCAAGACACACATACTTTCCTGAATATTCCAAAACATGAATATTCCCTGATCAAATACGCACCGCAATCTCTCACCCAACACACCAAACATAAGAAGCTATGCAAGTCAATTTGAAGAGGACCTTTTACGTTTGTCTCCAATCCGCATGCACTTAGGCAATAGCACCCATTCTCAGTGCAGTTGTGCTGTTGACAGGTTGAGAATGAAAAGTGTGAATGAATGAAATGAAAAGGAAGTGAGAAATATAATATGCTTGTAGTCACCTCCTAAATGTAAAAATACTAGACTTTCCTGCAAAATAAAAATGTGCTTTCATTTAATCCTTATGTAATCAGATTAAGTGCCAGAAGCAAAACTTAATCTTTATGGCACGTTTTTTAAATACCTGGTTTAAGAATTTTGTAACACTTTTTGTGCATAAAATTCTGAGATTTAATCATAACATAAAATCCATTTCTATACTACATGGCATTGTTTTAAAGTGAAAAGAAAAAAATGACATTTCATTAAAATTTATCCCCCAGTCATAATCAATAACATCCTTCACTTATTGTATTTTACTTTTAACAATCCAGGAAAATAAATCGAAGATCTCATAAAGTTCAATTGCCTATTTTAATCCTTCGAAAGTCAGCCTCTCAATAAATAATTCACTCCCCTCTATCTACATCGCACAATTCTGCTTTGAACTCTGATGATACATTCAAATATTATTAAAGTACTTCTATGTATATGTCTTGGGAAACCAAAGGGAGAAAAAAAATACATTTACAATAATAGACATAGGTGTAATGAAACACTTCAAGGATTTGTAAATAAATTTACGAAATTAAGTAGTATATTTTATAATTTTTGCAATGTTTTCCAAATAGGAAACTTTTCTTCAACAATGATAGGAGATCAATTCTCTGTTTGAACAAAAGTATAAGAATTCTCACAGTCTCTGGATAATACAGCCACTGCAGTTTAAGGGTATCTCCATCAGCCCAGAACAAATATTGATGTAGCAACCAATTTCATATTATCTTCAAAATCATTCATTTGAACACACAGAAATAAAATAATATCTATATTCACATTACTTGTTTTCTGTAGTTCTTGCATCAAACAATTGAATATCAGTGTATTTACTGAAGGATACATTTTGAATAATGTGAAAGTAGGTAAATCAAGTTTACACCATAGGTTTTACACTACATTCCTTTAATTCATTTCTTTCTATAAGGTCTACTCCTTGCAGATGAAGGAACACAGCAGCAGTAGTTCTTTCAAAAAATATCGCAGGAACATAAGTCAAACTATCTCATGTCACCAATCATTTACATCGTAAAATGAAATCATTACAATAGATCAAAGCAGAGAAGAATGATTCTTAGGTCAGAGGCAAATAAAATGAATGCATTTCAATTATAATACTTTATAGGAAAAAGAAATTTACAGAAAACTAAGACATGCCTCTTAACTGCAACCAATTGCAGACGACTTCTTCTTTAAAACTATGTCTTTAATGTTCAAATGAACTTTCTCTTTTCTCTTTGGAGGAACAGAGTTAAAGCAAAATCTTTTGAAAGCTTCAAGCTCTCGTTCGTCATCATCAATGTCCCCATTTTCAAGGTCTATGTCTTTAGGAGCAAAAACACTCTCTGGAAAAAAAAGGAAAAGAAAATCATTTTCAAGAACTAACTATGACATTAACTTGCACAAATGCAAAGAAAAATTATTCAAGTTAAAATTGTCTACATCATTCACAACACAGATCAACAACAAATAATACAATACCAACAAAAATTATAACTTATTTAATATACACAAAATTACTTACCCACAAGGTTCCAGTCATCAGAATGTCCCTGCCCTCCAGCACCTTTCTTCTTCTTCTTTTTCTTCTTTGCTTCGGTAGCAGCTGCCATTGCTTCTCGTACCGCTGACTGTGCTTGCATCATGGCACGGCTATTTGAGTGTTGAATGTTGGCTTCTTGGGCATGATTCTGCATAACTTTCTGATTTAAGGGAGGAATTTGTTGTTGTAGAGGATGTGTTCTTTGAGAAGTGTTGTTCACATTACCTCCACGCACATTAATACCATTATCTTCTATTCGGGGCCCGCTGGATCCCATTTTCCCATGAATGTTACTAGTCACACCATTGCACTCTCCTTGACCACCACGGCTCCGAGCACTACTATCTGAATTTGTGAAACGAACAGCATTGTTCTCTTTTCCCTTAATATTAGCTGCACTGTTCACAACAGCATTAGATGATCCTCTTTTATTACCCTTTGTCACATTCTTTTCTACATCCCCATTGATTTGCACATCAGCTTGCCCATTAACATGTTGTGACAATCTTGGCCCTGCACTTGACATTGCCTGTTGTAATGCTGAATTCCGAATGGTCACCATGGAACCGTTAACTTTAATAATAGCAGGTTGAGATAACGCATTATTGTTCTTTGAATTGCCATTTTGTTTCCCTTGAAGCTGCAGAAGGTTTGACTGTGATTTGGAGCTATTTGAAGAATTACGCTGGTTTTGGTTTTTACCATTTGTCACGTTTTGCTTCCCTGGTAACTGCTGATTTTGTTTTGCTGAATTTGTGCAAGTAATATTATTTTCATTTTCATTATTACCATTATTCTTATTTTTCTTCTTCTTTTTCTTCCCATTTCCATTAACATTCTGACTTGCATCTCCTGGATCTGCAATGAAAGGAGAGAGAAAAAAAAATTAATAATAATAATAATTATTATTATAATTAAAATAATAATAATAATAATAATAATAATAATAATAATAATAATAAAGATAAATAACAATATCTTAGACTTCCAATCACAATGTCTTTCAAACATGTATTTCTGGAAAAATTAAAATATAAATTCCTGCTTATCTCTCCAAATCTAAAGAAGCATACCTTTAGCTGTCATGACATTTCCTTCCAGATCATCTTTCATTCTACCAGTATCAACAACAATTACATTTGAGCCATTTACTGCTTGACCAAAACCAGCAATTCTTGCAGGATTTCCCATACTTGTAGGTGCAGCAATGATAGTAGTTGTGCTGGTAGAAGTCGCAGGTGTTTGAGGCTTAGGGTTGTCTTGGGCCTTTAATTGAGCCCTTCTTTGTGCTGCAGCTGCTGCAGCAGGGCCATCAACTTTAGTGATGGTAATTCCTGGAGGCAGCTTTAAATTTTCCAGACTGAAAGATCTAGAATTGTTTGCACTTGCCTCAATCTTTGACCGAAGAGCTACAACTGATGCAGATCCTTTGGATGTTGCAATGCCATTTAGCTGAGTGTTGGCAGTGGGACCTGCCAGTTGACTTACTGGTGGCACAAAGTTGGCAGTTCCTTCAACACCTGCCGAACTATTCATAGTACCTGATTGGGATTGTTTTCCATTGCTGGATTTTCCAGAGGATGGATTGCCACTTGATTTCGAATTATTTTTGGCAGTATTCTGCTGAGATTTGTTTTTTGAAGAATTTGAGTTTGTTTGACCAGAATTATTATTGTTGTTGTTGTTGTTGTTGTTGTTGCTGCTGTTATTATTATTGTTGTTGTTATTGTTGCCACCATTTCCTTTATTTTTCTTCTTTTTCCCATTTCCAGAAGTGTTTGAAGGATTTGTTTTCACATTTTCTGCATTAGATTGATTAGAATGTTTACTGTCATCCTGACTCTGGCAAACTGCAAATAAATGATGCAGTAAGTAACCAAGATGTGCAGAAATCTAATAAAATCACATTGAGAAATCCAAGATTTGATATAAAAACCGATTTAATATTTTAAGAAAGGGTACAATTTGACATTGCAGTTTCAAGCAATTTATACAAGATATTTTAGAATCGTTTATTGGGGCAAGAAACATTTCTTACCTTGGCCATTCACCAATGTAAAGAGTACTTTGTCTTTATCTGGAGTCGCCCCTTTTAATGTGATAGTTACAGTAGGTTCTGCACCATTTGGTTCCATAACTCGTTTAATAGTGACCATTTGAGGTGCAGTTGTTGCTTTGTTTGCTGTATTGCTGTCTGTTCCATTAGTTGCAGGAAGTTGCACTCCCTGATTTTCTGCCACCTTTGAGCCCTTTCCATTTCTCCCTCCAGAATTTGAAGACTGGTTTCCATTTTGTGAGGGTGCCACAACGTTATCAGATTTTCCTCCGGGTGTATTAACGACAGTAATAGTAACTTCTGGAGCATTGCTTTGCAAGGCTGCTAAACCACGTAAACGTTCAGCTTCTTCCTGCTCCTTTCTTTCTTTTTCCTCCAACTGTAAAGCAAAATTTACATATTGAAAACAATGTCTAATGACACAAAGAAGAATAACGGGATGAACTTGCTGAACAAAAAATTACTCATACCTTTCTCTGTTTCTGTCGAGCCTTCTTAGCAGCTTTCTTAAGGTTTTTACATCTTCCCGATTGATTACCTTCAATAAAGTCAAGAAGGGCCTCCAAATCCCTGGGATCCTTTGAAGGCTGAGAAAGGGAATCAGGAGAATTCTGCATTGATAATAATGGAATAAGTGGAGAAGACTGAGAAGGAACAGATGCCACTGAAGCAGCAGATGAAGCTGTGGTGGAAGAAACAGGCTTTGCTGCAGTCTCAGGCATTGAGTTTGAAGCATTATTTGTTACAGGTTGAGATACAGTGTTGCTATTACTGTTGTTAGAGGTTGCACCAGTTGAGCTATTAGCACCCATTTTACATTTTGCTTTTTTCTTGGTAAGAAGAAGTCGCAACCTTTCTCTCATTTCTTGATAATTGCGACTAACAGGAGCTACAGAAGGCTGAAATACAAATTATTATATCAATTTAAAGATTTCAGTCAAGATCAATTGCTATTTAATATTAATAATCAATAATTAGTTAATTCTTTGGGAAGCAAATAAAAGTAAAAACGTAATGGACATTATAACAACACCATATTCTAATTTTCATAATCATTCATTAGAATACAAAGCTTAACACAAATGGAATACTTGATAGGAAAATATAGTTTAGGAACATGACAGAAAGAGAATTTTCCACCACCCAGTTCCCACAACACACTCAAAACGCTTATCTGCAAAAATATGAAAACCTTAATCCTACATTGTATGTACAAATTAAGTCTGTATTTTATTCATTTTTTTATTATTCCTCTCTGTTATCAAACCTTTCTGTACCAACAATGTTCTGGTCCTGTGGGTGACAGTTATGAGGGGTTCTAATGTATTGAACTTATCTCTCAAGCACAAACAGATGTAAGTTGGTTCTTCAGCAAAACGTTCAAACATTTTGCGTACATAGATTTTTAAATTAAAAAACTAGATTTTTAGATTAAAAAAAAAAACTTTTCTAAAACCAACTTGCTCGACCTGGTACATAGGTACATTCATGCAACTCATCTATACAAAAAAATAAAGGCAAACGGGCGTTGCATTACAGCACAATAATCTCTTAATGAACTGAACCAATCCTAATAAAATCTTTATGCTGCCTTCCTTTAAAGGCCAATAAAGTGCTATAGGCTGTGATTTACAAGCATGAACCTAATTTATAAACAAAGTAATTACTTTTGTGTACATTTTTCACCAAGCATTACATCAGAGATTTAAGAGTGCATCAATGTGCAATAGCTTAACTGCACACCACGAGAGGAAGAAGACTGAAATCTACGATTGAGTTCATGAGAGCACAGAATTGTATATCTGGTTCTTAATTTATTTTATGTATTACACTCAATTATTTAATCCAAAATGTTTATATTTAAGAATTATTTTGACAGTTTTTTTCACTCCATTTGTAAAGTAACTTGGAAATTAATTTTAATTGCGTCTAAGTGTGAATGTATTAAGTGTTCAAGAGATTTGAAATTATTGAAGAAAAGCCATTTTGCTGATGTAAGTGCTTGATATTGTCATAAAAAGGTATGAATATTCATTTTTTTTCTTAACGAAATAGTTATTTGTTTAGTTGCAGTAAATGAAGCATGAATATTACGTGTTTGAGAGTCACACCAGTGAAAGTTAAAATAATTTTTCTTGTATATCTTGGAGCCATTTTGAAAACTTTTTGAAATTGTCCTTAGAGATTTTCATGTAAAGTACCTCCAAAAACCAAAAGATCTAGTTCATGGCATTACCTGTAACAGTTACGTATTTTGATGAAAATCCTGTTTTAGGTGCAAATGTAGTTTCCAGCTAGACTAATACTTTTTAGATAAACCAAATATAACAAGGAACCACAAACTCGGTTTTTGATCAGAACAGAAAAAAATAGAAAAAAGTAATATTCTACATAAAGGAGTAAGAAATGTCCTTCCTCAGTATCACAAAACCACAAGTTACTTTCTGTCAAAAAATAACACCTTTTTTTGCAGAATTAACATAGAACTATTCCATACACCTTTCACTACACAGTGATCATTAAAAGTACCATGAAATGAATATTAAAATGATAAAATGCATGTTTTGATAACTATTTCCCAAGGACACCCTCCTCCTATCTTCCTTCTGCTCTTCTCCATCTTTCTAATTCAACATCTCTTCCTTGTCATTATTCTTCTCTTCCTTCTCTATTTTCTCATTTTTCATCTTATTGCCCCCTTTCACTCTGACTTCACAACAAATGGGTGAAAATAACGCACAACAAATTGAATCAAGAAAAATTAACTTTTTTGATATAAGGGATCCACAAAAGCGTTTTTCTGTTGACAAATCAGCACTTTGCCTTGCTGTATAATGTGTGTAGTATGTGAAAGTAAAATCTTGTTAAAGACTAATGAAACAAAACCATTGAAAATCAAACATTGGAGACTGAAATCCCATTGTCTATATTTCCTAAATTTCAATGTTATGGGAAGCTGGAATTGTATTATAATTAAAATTACCATTTTATAACAAAGTACAATTTTATAAAGTAATTAATCAATGAATTTGTAAAAGAGAGAAAGCAAAGAATCAATTCAGGAAACTATATCAAAACATAAATTAGTAAATCATATTCTCTCAAAAAATTCTGCATTTAATCGAGAAATGAAAACTCTTCATATTATTTAAAACTGTGAAAGTAAGACAATACTTCCATTATGATCAGACCATACACTTGCATACCACAACAACATTGAGATTGACAAAAATATTGGAAATTTGGAAACGTTTAGTGTTGATTCGTGCAAAATTCATGAGAAATGTCAACACAAAACTAGGATTTGGAAGAAGAAGCAGAGAAAGAAAGAATTAAAAAACAAAAACACCAATCAGCTTCACATTGTTATCACCAGTAGACAAGAAAAGTAATGTAATCAAATCTTCCAACTAAATTTGACTTACCACGCCATGACCAAAGACTTCACAATAGCAGCAGTCACAGTGTCGAGAATCTCTCTGAGTTGAGGTAGTAGTCGAACTAGAGCGCTCAGAACAAGTGTCATCTTGACTGGAGGAATCTTCTGCATCAACCACTTCTCCATCAGCAACTGTGGAATACAAAACATTTTTTCAGATTCCACAAACCTTAAAATAATTATACATTTCTTCCACAAAAGTTTTAGAGACATACAATCAGTGCAAGAAACTCTCTTGATTGGCTCCACATTTCCTCCATTTTTCAAAGTTTTGTGACATGAATGACCAATTACTTTTCCAGCAGAGCCTGGGACAGAACGATGTGAGGTTGTGCTACTGGCAGCAGATCTAACTACGTCTGGCAGTGATGAATTAACATGACTATGGGTATTCCCTGGATAACAACAGAACAGTGTTAAAAATATGTTTCATACATAATTTTATGTTTAACTACTATTGGGAATTCCAATACCTGAACTTGCTGTTTGTGTCATTGAATGGCGAACAGAAGAAACATTAGAAGCCCGACTACTTGATACAGGATGGTGATGACCGTTGACAAGTTGTTGACCTCCAGCAGGAACTCTCTTCACTACACTTTGAGGCGGTGGTTTACTGGCAGTAGTAGAAGAGGGAGGAACCTGGGTGAAGAAATGAAATTAATTTAAACCCACAACAGAAGATTCAAAACATTAATTGATAAATTAAGTTTCAGAAATTCTGAAACGAAGATCAGTAATGGCTTTGTAATATTAAAATGAATGTTTACCTTCTGTTGAGCTAAAGCTTTGTTAGGGCTTGTTTGTGTTGATGTTGAATTCTGACTATGCTTCTCTGCAACAAGTGGTTTATTGGCAACAATATTACCAGGATCCTGGCAAGTACTGTTGACTTTAACCTTCTGCTGTTGCACAGGACTCCCATTCCCACTGGGCTTGACAGAAGGAACAGGTGTTGTGGCAGCAGATGTTGAAACTGGCACAACTGCCTCAGGTGGAGCAGAGGAAGAGAGAGCAATTGCATTGGCAATAGTCTTTACTCTTGCAGAATTAAGGGCAGGATGAACAATGGTGGAACTGTCACCAGAGGCAACTGTAAGACCAGAATTTGTTAGTGGAGGAAGAGCCTCCAAGCTCAGTCCAGGAGGCAGGAGGTCAGCCACAGATGATAATGATGGTGGAACCATATGTTGAGTTTTAGGATCAATGCTTGTAAGCTGAAAAGAAATGAATTAGAAGTAAATTAAGAGCAAATGCAGCCTAGAAAAATATAATTAAACTTGATACATACCGGAACTTGATCCTGAAGGTGAACCCCAAGTCTTGAATGCTTGGTCCCTAATTGTGACAAAAGTGAAGGATGCACATTGTACAAATGAGGATACAAACTCCCAGCATCACCGCCTAATAAAAACAAAAAGTTAGGACAAAAAAAAGTAACCTCACTTTACACTTCAAAAAATACTATACAGTAACATGTGTATCAGAGGAATATTATGGAATAAAAATATTAAGTCTTGAAATTACTTATTGCTGTAATTGTTCAAAACAACAATGTCATTCTGAATCTGTAGCAAATATCATTGCCATTAACAACTAACTCATTTAACTTGTCAATAATGTGTAGTAATTGTCACAATAGTTCCATTTACAGATTATGAACCTGCCAAAATACAATATTCTTACCTCCTCCAGTACCGTGAATATGAGGATATAGATGAAAGCCACTTGTATGCAAGTTCACATTAACACCAGGCGAACTAACATTACCAGGGGGAGGCATGGCCTGTTGCACACAAGTGTGACATTCATAGCTTTCCATTAAATCCATCTTCCATATGAAACAACACACACACACAATTCAAACAAACTTCTAAATAAAGATCTCACACAGATCTCAGCTGTTGAATAGAAGTAATACTTACAGCAGACATAAGGGGAGCAGTACAAACATGACACTCACAGCTTTGCTGTTGAGTATTAGATAATTCCACAATATCACCTTCAATACTATCATTAGTGTCACCAGTGTTGCCAGGTTCTGTGGGAGATTCTGGAGGTTGTTCACTGCCTTCTCCGTCAGCACGAAATTCTTGGGTACTATCTGTTTTGTGACTGAAATATTATTCAGTCACATTATAGCAATGCATATGACAGAAAATATATCAATGCCAAATAATGCATTGCCCACATACCCATACAAGGAAGAGTTCTGAAGGGCACTAACTGATCCATCACATGCTGGAGTGATGAGAGCACCACATGTGAGCAAATGTGACATAGCACAATCATCACATGGACAACTACGACGTGTACTGCAGCCCAAGCAGAAACTCGGTCCCACATTCAAACCAGCACTACATGACGGGCCCAATGCTGTTGAGACTGCAGCTGCATGGACGGCAGAAGCAGAACAGCCCTCCTCAGGAGCTTGGCCATCCGGGGGGCTCTCGGGGCTGCCAGCCAGAGCGGCCAGGCTCAGCAGCTGCTCGTCAAATTCACGCAGTTCGCTGCAAGCAATGGCTCTCTTTATTCCGGCATCATAAGCAGCTGTTGCGTCAGACGTATCCCTGTGCCTGCATAGGGGGAGGATGGGGTCGATGTTCCAAACATCATCAGTTCAATCATTCATTCCATGCTTTCATGTACATACAATAACACTTCAACCCCCAAATGACTACTTTTCATGCAATTACACACTCAAATACATAAAGGGTATTTTGCTGCAAGGAGACACTTGCCAAAATTTCATTTATTAACAGACCTTGTAGTTTTGCTCCACATTTTTTGATGAATGAGTTTCCGTTGAGCTTTGAAAAACTCCCAGTCTTCCCGAAGCATGCGCTGCTTTGCTTTTAATGTTGCTTGTTCTTGGCTAAAAACAAATTGAAGCATAGCAACATTTCAAAAAGTAGATCTTCATAAACTACATTGAAATGACAATTTTCTTTTCATTCTTGAGCACAATAAATACTTTGTAAACACGTACTTGTATTCATGTATAAGAGTTTCTGTATCTCTCCACATAGCACCAATTAGTGTCATTTCATCGTCAAATACTAGATATCTATGTACTAATTCTGTATAAACATCACTTTCTCCTGGCAAGACACTACGAAGCTGAAAAACAAAAATGTTTAACACTAAACAAAGATCTACTTGTGATTCTCTACACTAATTTGCAATAAAAGCAAGAACAAACACCTTTCCAATGTAAAGTGGCAAATTATTCTGCACCAAAGGATCTGTATAAACACAACTTTGATACAGATGTTTATTTAAAACTTCCCATGTCAAATTAAACCTTTGTAAATGCTCAGCTTCCAACTGTTGTAGAAGAGGTGTCAACTGTTTAGCTCCACGACATAATTTCTCGAAACCCTCCAACAGACCTGTCAAAAAAATCAAGCATAATCAAAACACATTAGCGTTTTTTTAACAAAATAACAATAATCTGAAATTTACCTCTCAGAAAAATCTGGGCAACTTCTGGAGTTTGTTCCTCTCTATGAAGAAGCTCCAATTGTCTAACTTTAGCTTCAATAACAAACTCTTGAACTTGAGATTCCAACCGTTGAAAGAGCTGATGAGGATCTCTGACACATAACCTATAACACCAAAAACCTCTGCTTAGATTCAGTCGCATACACTTTATGTGGCTTACTCAGAAACTTGCATACTTTTGCACCAATTCCTTCATCTTCACTATATTTTCTTCTGTTGCATCAACTTCACTCCCTTCCATTGCCATTCTATACACCATTCTAATATACTGCCGAAGTTCCAGCCAATAAGATTGCAAGCGACGCATTTCTTCCATCTGCTCTGCAGCCAGTTCCCTACAATATCACAATTTCTTTACATTTTCACTTCCACATCACCCAACAAATATTGGAAAAGAAAAATCCATACCGTCGATCTTTGCATGCATCACAATTACATGGCTTTTCTTCTTTCACAGGAACAACTGGAACTTCCAATTTCTTTTGGCTAACTCCATCCTGATGAAGGAAAAATTCATTACTGAATAACAGATGAACTATATCAAAAGAGGATGAAATTGACGTAAAACAAAGTCAAATTTAATATCGTATACTGTGTGTGACACTGACACTGTGTAACAGTCTGAACATATAACCAGCAATAGATAATAAAATTGACTGCATTGCATATATCCAATAAAATAATAATTCAACTAAATAAGAGTCCAACACTCTTAAACCAAGCAATGGCATCTCACCTTGCTTTCTACTATTATTTTTGTGTCTCCACTTCCTTCTTCACTACTGTCTTGGGGGCATTGTTCATCAACACTAGGGGCTCCGTCAGCTTCTTCTCTAACACTTTCTTCACATGATTCTACTTGAAGTTCGTCATTTTCGCTATCCCCGCATTCTTTACCAAGAACGTCACCCATGTTTCCACTTTTACAATTTTTCCTTTTCTTCGATTTCTTTGTATCCGAACAACTCATTATATTTTCAAATTCTTTATAAATAACGTCCACCTACGGCGACTTTATTTATAAAACACAATTAACTGAAATTATCGAAACACTCACAGCATACACAAGACATCCCTAGCATCAGAGGGACCATTCGCTCAATATGGCGTTGTAACAGTACAGTGCTTCCCTCTAGTGACGGTTGGTGATGGTACGCGGAGTAAGCAAGCAAAGGAGGCAAGCAAACTCAGGAAGAAAGAACGAATCGAATGTTTTCAGATCGATTAGCAGTTCGTCTCATGAGACACATGAGGAGGGAGAATCGATTCTGTCTTGTGGAATCATTCCTGATACAAGAATTGCGCATCTTCAAACACTGCAGCCAATATTAAGTGTTTAGAACGAACGTACATGTACGATATGGGCTATGAGTGAGGGAAATTTAAAAGTAGTCACATAACATGCGTTTCGATCAATTATGAAATAAACGATACCGGGCAACTTAAAAAAAATCATTAATAAACATTTCGATCTTTCTGTGTGAGATCCTCTTCACTACGTAAAATTTCTGAAAATACATATAGTTTAGTCGGGTTACAAAAAAAAACTATTATCTTAATAGCAAAAGTCATGATTTATATAAAAATTAAAATGGCTAAATTAAAAATGTAAACATATAATTTTTACAATTAAAATATTTGTTGTTTTGTTCGCAACAACTTTAAATTTTCAGAAATGTTACATTGTGATTATATATATATATATATATATATATATATATATATATATATATATATATATATATATATATATATATATTCACTGGTATCATCGTCGTTTATTTGTTTATTTCATAATTGATTGATATAGTGATCACTCGTTGAGTTTTTTACATATTTGGTTGCTAAGTCACAGAAGGCTCAATATTATTTACTTTTTAGCTTTAAATTACAATTTGGATTTTAATCTTAAATTCAGTTTGGTGCGTGTAATCGTATATCGATACTACAATGTTTCACAAACCAATTTTTATCAATTCAAATGTTCGTATAAAGCCGCCATTGTAGTCATATGATTGATAACGTTTGTGATTCTGCGCGAACACATGGTATTATTCCGGCACGTTTTCTTGAGCCCTCATTTCGCTAGATGCGTGAGGAGTGGGGATGGGTTATTTTGTCGACAAGACTATTATATCAAATCTATTGCTCATTTTTCGATGCAAAATAGATTATATTACACTGGAACGAATATTTCTTTTATCAGATTTTGTCAACAAACGTCGTTGTTATCATTTATTTTGAATTCAACTAAAATTTGTAAATATCTTACGTTTGTATTGGATGTAACGCTGAATTCCTGCACTCTAATTGGATCTGTCCATGAACATAGAACATGGGAAGTTCCCATTGACAACATAATACAGTACAAGTACTCTTTGATTAAAACATCCGGACGTTCGATTAAAACGTAAGTCGGGCTGAAGCTGTTGGGGGCTATAACGACAACGGACTGAATGTTTTATACTTCAGATTTTGTAATATGGCGCGTCAGCCTAGCTTCACGATATCTCACGGCATTTCACGTTTGTCGGTCGTGCCGCCACGTGATGTTCCATCGTGAAGATAGGCTTTGACGTGCCACGTTATAAAAATCGAAGTATAATCGAAGCATATACACTTGTAGCCTCCACTATAGTGAGCATCGTACGAATGGGGGCTTGTCAATTGTCATCGTGTTGTTTTGGTTGAGGAGTACTGTAGAATGTGTTTGCCTTCTAGAAGATTACTGAAGAATGTGTTGAAACGAGTTTGACATGCAATATGATGCAAGTTAATTATTTCAGTTTTATGTGATCTTAAGTTTTTGAGTGACTAATAGTGTTTATTAACATTTTTAGTAATATGTAATATTATTGATCAAAATAGTAATATGTTGTTTTGATTGGGCATACAATGGATAAAGCTATAAAAAATTGGAATCCTTCACTTCTGCCTGAGTGTCAAATAATTGTATAGGTCTCGTGTGGAAAGTGCCCAGTAATCTGATGCGTGAAAAAATATAATTAAAATGTTTTATAGTAGTATTTTATTTACTGGGATCTTTTTTCAATTTTGTTATCACTGCTATGGAAATCAGACAGATTCCCAGAAAAATGATTCATACGTCCCTCATGGACCACTTGTAAGGTGTGAATTCTTGTAAGTATTTTATGATTCAGACTATTTTTTAGTGTTCCATTTATCTACTTAAAAAGCATCTCTCTTTGTAGACCCCTGGAGTTTATGGATTGTGAGGAGCCTACTGATTTTAAAGGAAATGCTACTGCTAAAGAAGCAGCAGGACATGGCTGTGTTACTGTAAGTAACTAAACTAGGAAAGAACTTTGAATAATTGCCAGAAAACTTAACCTTTTGTGTCTTATTTAGAAAGAGAAAATTATTTGTTCTTTTTTAGATGTACATTTGTAGATAAAAGGTACCACTAAACCTAAATTGGTGTTCTCACCTAAAGTTTATTGTATATTTTCTTATATCACTCAAAATGCCAATACTCATAACGTAAATAAATTTTCAGTTTGGTGGATATCGCTATGAAGATGTTGAAAAGGCATTTGTGTGGTGTACAGTATATGATACTATTGATTGTTATGGGGAAAAGAAGTTTTTAAGAGGTGGATTTCCATGCATTAGGTAGGTTGTTTTCCACCCTTTACTACTTTTTAGTTAACTCCCCTGTTAGAAGTGTCTAATTTTATTATATTGAAAACTTAAGTTCCCTGTTACTGCAGTGTTTAAAATTAGTGGTGCTAGTGAAAAACACAGGCTTTCTCGTACTCTTCCCAGCTGTCATCGATTGCTGCCCAAACTACATTTTTTCAATTTTTCTGTCACCCAAAGATAGAACTGAAACATGACTTATTATATTATAGAAAATTAAAGCCTTCTCCCATATGGAAATTTGTTGAAAAATTTTGAACTGTTTTTGAGAAAATGTTTTAGTTTTCTGAAAATGCACATTTTGAAGCTCATTTACACCCAAACATTTGAGTTTTCAAGGAACTTCATAAGAAATGTTTTGCAGCAATAGTACTCACTAATGCAATAACGTATACAAATTGCTGTTACTGTAACTATTGAGAGTGTGAGGGTTTTTGTTTTTTCAAAAATTACATTTGTGTTAAAACACAAGAATACATCAAAAAGGCATTGATGTCATTTTGTTTAGACCATTTAGAATTATCCATTCAAAAAAAAATTTGAGCAATTTTTGAGAAAATGCCTTTTGAACGTTTCTAACACTGCGGAATTTTGAGCTCATGTTCACAAAAAGCTTTTGAGGTTTCGAGGAACTTCATGAGACATCATTTGTACTCACAAATGCAATGAACTATTGTCGGAATATTTGTCTACTTGACAGCTGGGGTGGGGGTGGAGCGATGTTGCCACTTACTCGGGCGGCAGATCACAACAGTTTTGCAGAAAGATCATTTTCTTGAGTTAAGGAATCATTTCCCGTCAATTTAACTATAAATAGTTGAAAGATGAATAAAAGTTTAACATAAATAAATTTTAAAAATCGCTTGATTAGCAATATTTGAAAAATAGTAATTTTCGTTTCTGAGTTTACAATAAGTTTTATGCCGTGTTACAGTACATTTAATATTAACCCTACGAGAAGTTAAAAGAAAAAAATTGATTTGTTTTTGATATTTTTTAATATTGAACACATTTCAGACAATATTGCATAAAAATATTTAAATTTGTTTAAAAATTCATGGACTTAATAAAATAATTAATTATGGAGAACAACTTTCATTCATTTCATCTCCATCTTCAATTTTGTAGATATAGGAAGACGCCGAAGCCGATCTGGATGGCTGAGGTGGCCAAGAGCGTGTACCGACTCGGCGCCTCGGGCCGGGGGTTCGAGTCCCATCTTGGGAATATTTGTCTGTCCTTATGTACATGTCGCGGAAGGCCTTGCGTTCTGCTCTCACCACAGATCAGAGAATGTTAATGTCAAGGATATGGTCAAAATATGCGTCCCGGCCGGACGAAAATGGTACATGGTTATCGGTTTGAAAAAGACGCCAAAAACATTTCAAACTTTTACAATTTCCAAAAATTCAGAGTTAAACAATGAAAATCAAATGTGTGTCACTTTTATAAGCATATTTCACTCTATTACTTCAAGAAATTTAAAGACAAAAATCGAATGAGACCAAATTGACGAGGGAGTATTGTTTGGGAGGGGGGAGAAAAAAGCTAATAGTAACAGGCGGTTGGCTCCAAAACACTCATTTTCTTCGATTTTCCGCAGCATTACATAATTGTCTCTATACAACGTATGTACGAGAAAAGTACTGTACTCTTCCAATCTACTGATTATTTATATTAAGTTTACTAAAAATTGCTTCAAAGATTCTCCCTAAATTTGTTGCTCAAGTAGAGCAATTACTAAAATAGTAAAAGCTCGATTTTTCTTTCGAACTTTATAACTTATGAAAGTTACTATTTTTTAACTTTCCTTTAAGCCTCTGTTACACCATTACTGAAGTTATTGATTTTGTTTTTAATGAATTTCCACTTCAAGAAAGTACATTAGTGGATCAGAGAAAGCGCTAGCAAATGGGCATGTTCCAAGCAATTTCATTAAAAGTTTTGCAAAAATGAGGCAAAATATTACTAAATCATAATTTGCAATATTATTGTTATGCTGATTGAAATTGAGTAGATCGTGTATTATATCATCTGACGCCACATAAAATACCCGTGTGTTACCTGAGGCCACCAAGTCTTGATGACCTGTTTCTTTAACGGTTCAAAACGCAGATTCGAACTCGCCGGGAGCCTCATGTAACAAAATTTATGTTTTTATTTTCACGTTAAGTTTAATTTCATTCAATGGCATTCGTTTGTTCCCCATTACCAGCCCATTCAAACTTATCGGTCAGAATTGCCCCGCAAATTCACGGTGGATGCCGCGAATACAATTGTCTTGTAGATATGCGATTTTTTTTTCTTGCAGTAATCGGTTTGTTTCGCATACTTTTACGAAAATATGGAATGGCAATATAAAAATTTAAACTAACAGGCTAGTCTTAATCTGTGAATGACTTTTTTTTTCTTTTTTTTTTTTTCTCTTTCAAATGTCGGGAAAATACGATCTTATATACACGAAAGTGCGGTAACAGTGTTGTTAATGAGATTACCTGTTAAAAATTATTTTCAGCTTAATTCATATTGTATAAGTGTAGTGATTTAAAAGTTCTATAATTTTTGCTTTTCTCCCCAGGTACAGTGGACATTATTTTGCTACTACATTAATCTACAGTATTTTATTGGGATTTTTGGGCATGGATAGATTCTGCTTAGGTCAAACTGGAACTGCCGTTGGTAAATTATTGACCCTTGGAGGAGTAGGCATTTGGTGGATTGTGGACATTGTCTTATTGGTAACAAATGGTTTGCAGCCAGAGGATGGTAGCAATTGGAATGCATATGTATAATTTGAATGTTGACAATAAATATTTCACAGGAATCTAAACTTTTGATTCTCCCTCACCCCCCCCCTCCCCTTTGTATCGCTCAACCTGAATGTTAACTATAAAAACTATTTTGAAAAGTGGCATATCTGCACAATACTTCTGAAGAATCTCCGAGGACAATGGCAAAGTCACTAGCCTTACACCACAGGTTAGATTAGCATAGAACCCCATGTGAAACATGACAAAACAAGTTTGCATGATCACAGGGGCCAGTCTGACTCCTGTGAAGTGCCCTAAGCCCTACCTCAATCCTAATTCCTTCCCAATTCTGGCTGCTAGTACACGGAGTTCCTACTTGGTGGTTCACTTGACAACTTACTGCGGGACATGATAAAATGAAGGATTACTCCCACACTGATATTAATGGAGGATTACTCCAAAAGCACAAAATGCCCCCCGGGGCTTGGAGACACGTTGTCAACTAAAAAAGCAACAAATTAAGTTATTACCAATATAACATTCAGTACATATCCTGATGCATACTAAATTATGGGCATCTTCAGAAGGAAGTCATAAATGAAAACCATTTATTTGATGCTCAACACTATTCCACAAAAATATATTTAGAGTATAATCCATTCCAAAATAAATACAATCTAACAGCTTACACTTGAGACAAGATACACCCTGTTAAGACATGAAGTGTAAGCTTATAAAAAGTTAACAAAAATGTAACAGTATAATAATCTAGATTCTCTTATTCCACAACCAGACTGAATATAGGACTTGATCACAGAAATTAAGCACAATGTAAGTTGATTTGTACTTACAATAATAAAACAATTATAAAATCTTTATAAATTACATATATGCATAATATAAAAATATTCATTAAATAATTATCATTGTATCTGAACATAAGTCATAAAAGCAACGTAAGTCTTTAATATTGCACAAGGAAGACAATGGAATGATAAATGGATGGGCAATGGAAGAACAATGTCATGGGTGAGATTCACACACTCATTACAAAATATTATGCACGTATTCTTTAACACTGTATGATATTTGATACATAAACACCTTAACACAATTAATCATGCCATTTCCGCAAGAGATTCATAATATACATATATGTAAATATATGTTTGGCCCCTATTAGGCAGAATACAAGATGAGCTCCTACACTAAATGCAATTCTGTAGTGAAATTTTTGGTAACCAGGTGAACCAGACTTCCATTCGGAGGGCGATCCTCACCTCTTGCCCAGCGTAAGAAAAGACTGAAATAAATACCAATGAAATTATTTCATTGCCATCAAAAGTGCAAAAATGAAATGAAATATCCATAGTGAAAAGATAACTAACTCTGCAACAAATTCAAGAGGCGTCCAAGATGACATATCAGCATTTGGCATCCATTTACGATTCATGGGTGTATCTAGTGTCACTGGCAGAATTGCAACCGCCATAGAGTTTTGGGGTAAGCCACTGTTTTCCCCAGCTAATGATTTGGTTAGTTGATGCACAGCAGCCTTTGCCATTCCATACCCAATCATGCCTGAAAATTTTACAGTTATTTTACTGAGCAATGTTGATCTTTATTACTTAACAGAGCACTTATTTATATCCCAAAAGAATTCAATTTACACACCAGTATCCTTAAAAATGCAAAGTAGTACCTGATGTTGGGCCAAGGGCTGGTTTGGCTCCAGGCAGAGAAATCATTCCCCCTTCTTTAAGATGTTGGGCAGCAATTGCTGCAGCAATGGTGGAACTCCAAACACTCTGTCGCCACATCAAGTCAGCATTTTTCACAAATTCTGTGTACAGATTAGATTAATTAACAAATATAAATTGGGCAAATGAAGTAAAATAAAGCCTTTCTACTATACCTTTGGAAGCAGCGTTCCCTCCAGCCCAGCCACCAGCAACACATATAACTGCATCAATTTTATCACCTTTGAGTAATTCTTGCACTTGTGAAAGGACACTTATTTCCTACAAAATAAATCAATCAACCTTCTGGTTTTGATAATGAAAAAATTTATTTAGTTTATAACTTTACCTGTTCTATCCAGGATTCATCATGTTTTACAAGAATATTTGCATCAGCTTGATCATTAGCCTTCAGGTCAATTGAACCAACCCACTGTAAAAAAAAAAAATAAACTTTCACTTGGAAACATAATTATGCAACTGATGTAGAGCAGCATTAGAAAGGTTCCAACTACCAATCAGGTGTTAATACGTGTTCTAGTTTTATACGTTCTAAATTTTTTTATTATTATTTAATGGGCACGATTTACAATACGATTTTGGGGTTTTCCTACTAATGCACAAGAGGGCATCTGGAGGTTACAGACATCATGAATTTTAAAAAGGTAATCTTCCCTACATTCACCCAACTGTTTATACACATATTCCCCGTTTATAAACAAATATAGAAATTGTAACCTCCAATTTCGATGATACAATTCTACGTACACCCTACATAACAATTAATTGGAAATTCGCCCTGTACAGATGCAATCTTGGCTAAAATGATAACTACCTCTTAACTGTATTGATTTCACCCGGAAACGGAATTTTCAATTTATATTACTCTTTAGTACACTCATTAACAATAAAATGAATGCCAAAAATATTTTGTTCGATCGCTAAGTTGATAATGGATTGGACACGACATCTTTCGGTCACAGCCCAAGGACCAATCAGCTGTAATGTCGTATTACGTTCAAAATGCCCGATGCACGCGCCGCCTTAGGAAAATAACGATCAAAAAATGAATTAAGAAAACAAGCATTCATACCCAGTTTTGAGACTTGAAATGAGCTACACATTGAGCCCCCAAAGCTCCACGTCCTCCGTAAATGAATACACGTCCCAGCATGGTAGACATGTTGATTTCCTGGTTCAGGCTGCGAGGTGTATGATGGGATACAAAATTTTGTGACGTCATTATGGCCTAGTTGGGTTAGGTTTAGGGATGCAAGTGTATTGAAAATTATTTGGTCGTTGGAAATGTATTGAGCCTTATTGGTGTTTATTGTTTCGCACTAACGAACCCAAGTATTTTGAAGAAAGCGATAGACATACAGAGAGGTGTGGAAGTTTCGTGCATTGTCTGAAATGTCTCGACATGAAGGTGAGTGATGCCTTATCACAGGTCAGAGAGTAGTTACGTTCTTGTCTGGCCTTCCCTAACTCCAGAATGATTTAACTAAAATTTTCGCAAATTATAGAATGGCGGCGTTACGAAACAAATACAATAAACATTTCAAAATGGTCCTGTATCTCAGAAAGAGTTTGCGCCATTGCATTTCTAATATGACTCGCAAAATCCACAGGAACGTAGCCCTTGTTATTCCGGGATTATTCTGGTGATTATGACCAGCTGTCGTATTGATGTTCATTGATATTTACAAAGTGAACTATTTTTCATATTTTTTTCAACAACAATTACTAATTGTTAAGATTTATATGAAAAGCTTGTATTATTTTACCTGTAATACCTTCCTTGAAATAGTTATCCATTGCCATTATTCTTTTAATATTGCATTGAAAATTGCATAATGATCATAAAACTTAACATATCCAGTCATGTAGAATTTTGGAAAGTTTTTGGGATTCATTCTGGGAGCTTTTGACATTTATTTCTTCTAGTATTAGAGTATAGTTTTTTTTTCCTTTTTCTTTTTTAGACACTGATGCCATTCTTAAACTAGAATGTTTGTAAATTCTTGTACTGAAAAGATGTTTTAGCAAGTCATGGAGTTAACCTGACAATAATAATATGATCTCCGTTTTTCTTTTGAATTCATATCACGATTATTTTGTGATAAGCAATGTTTCAACTCCTTGTTTTGCTCTGTAACAATCGTACTCTACTTTTGAAGCGATACATTCAATTTCAGGTGGAGAGGTAATGCTTGCATCTGAATCCTCTTCTCTGCAAAATTGTTTCAGATTTTATTAACCTACAATACATGACAACAGTTTGTCATGTACTAAATACTTGCCACAATTGTCAATTTCAGCAAGAAATTGAGAAACCTTTACAAAAGTTTTTGTAATATATTTTACATTGTTATATATTTAGTCTTGTGTATTACTTTTAGAACTGTCTTCAGCGTTCGTAATGTTCAATATTTTATCACCATAAATAAAATATACATTATAAGTTAATACCATTGGCATCTTGTGTTTTGTTTTTTCTTGTGACATTTGAATATTCTTTTTTGAATAACGGTTGTTAGTAATTAATTTAATTATTAATGTTCCATAATATATTGGATTTAATTTGTAATGTAAGTAGTTAAATTCTAATCCTCTTGAATTGCACTAAAATGTGTTGGGGATTGCAGTTTTTACCTAATGATAATAATAATAATAATTATTATTATTATTATTATTATACAGAAAAATGCACAATGTGCATAGGTTGTTTTTGTTTGTTTTTTTAACTTATAGCTTATGATTAATCTACTATATATGTTATAAACTATGTATACTTGAAAAATATTGTAGTGTCAGTCAATTGTGAAAACTCTATTTTAAAGAAGTTTCAATTAATCGATTCAAAGATGTGGATAAGATCTGAGTTTTGATCATTATTTTAAAAAATTAACGGTTTAAGGCTTTCTAATAAGAAACACATTTGCTGTGTCACTGTGTGTATCTCCTCTGAAATAATCATCAAATGAAGATGATAAAAAATGTTTTTTACACTTTTGATACTTTATAGTTATGATAAAAGATCAGAAAAAATGTATAACTTGCTTTATTTCTATCAGATGTAGGTAGATATTTATAGAGCGTATTTATTGATGTTTTCTTCTTTTTTAATTGGGTTTCCTTTCTCTGACAGGCGTGAGCTGTGATGCATGTTTGAAAGGAAATTTTCGAGGCAGGCGCTATAAATGTTTAATTTGCTATGATTATGATCTTTGTGCTACCTGTTACGAAGTAGGTGCTACTACTACACGTCACACAACAGAACATCCAATGCAGTGTATTCTTACTCGATCAGATTTTGGTATGTTCTTTACAGTATACTAATTGAAAATATTTATTAAAAAGACATTGGTTGATGCATTAAATAGTTTTTGTGCATTATTATAATTGTGTAGTAATTAAAAATAGCTTGATATTCAAAACTACACTGTACCTGTTAACTCTCAAATTACTAGTAATGGAATTGAATTTCATTCTATGGATATTTTTCAGATTTGTATTATGGTGGAGAGGCACTTACAGTTGAGCAACCTCAAGCTTTCACATGTCCCTATTGTGGCAAAATGGGTTTCACTGAAACTACTTTACAAGAACATGTTACCAGTGAACACTCAGAAACATCATTTGAAGTGGTTTGTATTTCTAACAATTTCTTGAAAGCAAACATTTTCATATGGGTAGTGATTATTTCACTATTCCTCTTACAGGTGTGTCCAGTTTGTGCTTCCTTGCCTGGAGGTGATCCGAACTTGGTGACAGATGATTTTGCAGGTCACTTGACTTTGGAACACCGCAGTGGGCCACGTGACCTGATATCCTTCCTCATATCCTCTTCAGTACAGAATGCCCAACACAAACTATTTCTTTATCATTATGAAAACATATGGAAAATATTCCTGATTTTTCTTCAAGTTATTTGTATGAAAATCATTCCTTTTAATAAGTTATCTCACCCTTTATATTCTAATCTGTACTTTAAAATTAGATATGATTACTTTATTTAGAATGTATTTTACATTTAATTTTTAATTATCGAATCAAGAGATATCCATGATGACTTGATTTATATTCTTTAGGTGTTGTAGACCAGTTATGAATTGAAGGTATTTGAAAGAATATTTCATTTAGGTTTTATTTCTTAAGTTTACTTTTAAATTTAATTTTAAAAGTCACAACTCTTGAAATGTGAATATTACTTTCAGTTTGACATTTTATATATGTATATGCACAGTGGCAGCAGAGATTTTGTGGTAATTCATGATTATTAATTCAGGATATCTAACGTATCGACCAGCCTACTTTGTAGTTGATACCTCTGCTATCCTGAATTAATAATCTACATATATACACACACACACGAATATGTGACTCTGTTATTGAATATGCATGTGAAGAATAGTCAGTGTGTTGACAGAATTTGGAAAGGTTGAGAAATTAACATTTTTGGTACAGGTATGGAATTGCAGTGCAGGTCAGGGGGAAACAACTTCGGTATAATTTCTTAATATCTATATTGAAATTTTGGTACAAATTCAGGTTATTTAATTGCTGTTAATGATTTAGGGATATTTGAATCAAGATTTTATGGGGATCTTAAAAGCGTGTGGCATTAAAAATTACAACTTACTAATTTGTCTGTGGTTGTTGCATTCACCTAGAGCAAATATGATACTTCATTTGCTGAAGACCTTCATGGGTTTGTAAGAGCTAAGAGGCTGACTTAATCAACAATGTGAAAAAAATTATTTAAAAACAATAAAATTATTTTTATGATAAAAAAAAGATGATCTTTGTATTTAGTTGTTTAAAAAGTTTCAGAATATAAGATATATTTAATTGGATTGAATAGTGAGGATATTATATGAGACAATTTTGTTGACACCCTGAATGGTTAAAAAATTCAAGATTTAAGCAGAAGATTGTAATAAAGGTTTTCCATTTCCAAAAGATTAATGATTTCACAATTTGTTTCTGCTTGTGTTTTCCAAAGAAAATTTTCTTCTCATGTATTTGAGAAATTCCTATTTCTGTTGTATTGATTTGGATCAGTTTCTGAAGTATTTCAGTACCATTCATTTTTTATGGTTATTTTAAATAAGTATGTGCTTGTAAAATGAAGATAACTTCATATGCACCTACTAGACATGAATGCTATGGATGCATGTACCCCAATCACCGGTAGAAAATAAATTGATTTCATTATGTTGTTATACGGTAGGTTTGAACTTCGTGTTTCAAAATTAAATGTCATTTAGTAGGCATGTTTCTCTTCATACTCTGGTGTGTTGTGGACCTTTGCTAAAAATTTTATTACTTAATGTATGATGAGATCTGAAGTTTTATTAGTTTCAATTGATGTGAAAAGTGGATGTGGTTATCGTCGAATTTTTCTAAGTATTACTGTGTTGTAGCTTGTGTTGGGCAAGTCATTGCACTTGTTTGTCAATTGTATGTGCATGGTATGTTTGGCTTATTTTAAAATTGTTTTGTTTGTTGCTTCTTTGTGCCTTGCAAGACGTTGAGTAGAATAATTTCCTGTTTACTTTAATGGGAATATAATTGTGTTCAATTACTTCAGAAACGGATGCACTAATTAATAAAATATACTGACACTATTAAGTTTAGTTTGCATAGCTAATGTTATGAATACTATTTTTTATGATGTTGACTTTCAGAACGAGATTTAATGATGTCATTAAGACAGTAACTTATTATTTTATTTAATTTGCTTTGCACTAATGTATTGTTAAAGTTAATTATGTTTGATTAATTGGAATATCGGAAGTGGTAATACCTTAACTCAGTATTACGATGAACCTGCTGGTTCAAGACATGGTGGAGTTCGCAGAATACCTCATCCTTCTCGGGGAGTAGGGGGTACTCGTGCTCGCCGTTCCAACATGCATTTCAGGTTTGTGGTGTTTTTAACGCTTCCTAGTGTACAGTACAATGCATGATGTATTCTCATTTAGTACTCGCGCTTTTGTTGACAGTTCCTCAGGTGGCTTATCATCTTTGTCACCTTCTAGCCGAGAGAGTGTGGATCCAATTGCTGAATTGCTGTCTCAATTATCTGGTGTGCGGAGATCTGCTGCAGGGCAGGGTTCTACACCTTCACAATTACAGCAGCTTCAGATGCAGTTGCAGCTTGAGAGACAGCAGGTGAGGGTATGGACACATTTTCTTTATTTTCATTTAAATTGCATGTTTTAAGTCCAAAATATTTCACTATTAGAAGTTTTAGATTTTGCTCTTCTAGTTTGAGAATAAATGACACAAATTATCCTTGCACCACAGGACAATGAAAAAAATTTTAATTTATGATAATGGAATGAATTATTTACTTTGAGTCCAATATAAAGTTTCAGTAAGATATTTTATGATTTGAATTTATTAGTGAATATTTTAATGTTAATTGAGGGGTTGGCTGGAAGAAGGGCGTAACTTGAATTATGGCATTTAACCATACAATATTTCAAAACATTCTTTAGATGACTTTCTACCATCCTAGATAGTTCTGTGTTAACTCCAATAGATGGCATTTGAGGAGCTTTTGAAATACCGAATTGCGTCCTTTTTTCGTAACCATTACCTCTACGATCTTGCATCATTTCAATTCCTGGTGTTTAGAACATGGTCAGAATGGCTGAGAATACAATGTTAATTTAGCTCGTATATCTTATTTTTCATTGTATGATACAGAGTTTGTCTCCAAATGATAGTTATACATCTTTAGATACTTATTTATGTAGTGTTAGAGATAAAACAAAAGGACGGGGAAGGGAGGGGTACCAAAAATCAGAAAACAAAAATGATTAATCTGGATGAAAATGCCAAATATTCAGTATTTCTGAAATTAGTAAATACATGCAGACATTCATACAAGGAAATTATTTATTTCAAACTTAGCTTGTTCAATCGAAACTGGGCACAATTTAACATTTTCAAATTAATGTAATTCCATGTATTTGAGCATTTTAGTGCATGTTGTGTGCTTAATCAATTACTAGTATATCTTTTCATGCAATATTTATGTATTTGAATTTTATATGATAAATACAACTTGTAGACAGTTTTTCTTGATTATCTCAAAACTTTTTTTTTTTTTTTAAATTGCACCTTTCATCCAGCCAACTCCTCAATTATGAATGAAATGTACTTTATGGTAGTGTCATAAAGATCTAAAATTACCTGAAACATAAGTGATTAAGATTTACCAATTTGTCTGAAACCAGTATTTAATAGAAGACATATTTAATAGAAAAATGGGTTAACATTCAATTATTGATTTATGCTGATTGTGCTCTTCGTTGTTTCTTATCTTTTTTACCATAATATGAAGCAGATACAAAAGTAATCCATTTTGTAGTGTTTCATTATTGAAGTTGATTATTTAGAAAGACAATTATCTGACAGTATTTTGAGGTGGTTGGGTCTCTTGCAAACTTCTAAAAAATCCACCACATTTGGATAATCATATAACTAATTAGAATGTACATTGCGGAAATGCAAGTCCCCAGAATGAGTTATGATGATAGATTGATAGAAATCTAGGAAAATTGGTCAAAACAACAGAATGATTTTCATTAATATTTACATTATTTTTAGATTGTTGGATATTTGAAAAATTGATTGCTGCATGGAAAGGAAAATAAAATTAAATTAATGAAGTGATTTATTGTATGTAGGATGTTACAAGAAAGTTTGTCAAGCAGTAGGTTGTAGTCAAGTTGTTTGTTATGTTCTTCCATCTGTGGAGGCTGTACATCTTTAATATAAATTCATGCTGTTTCTTAAAGAGTACTTCAATGCAGGCATTTCATAATGTAGGCTGAACATAGTAATCAGTGAAAGCCCTAAAAAAATGTAATTTTGTTATAGATTCAGAATGACTCTGTATAACAACAGCACAATAATGTATTTTACATTTCTTGAATGAATGCACTGTTTAAACAACTTCTCGGGTATTTAAGGTGGGAATACACTGATCAACAAAACCTTGTCTTTAATTATAATCTTGTAATTCTTTCAGTGTTGTGTGTGTATGTTTCTTCAATATTGTACCTTCTGAATGTATTTCACACTTTGAGATTTAAGTTTTATATCTGCATGAGGAAAGAAATGGGATGTGAATTTTTTGGACTTGGTCTTCTTTTGCCTTTATGTTGAATTCTTAAACATTTTGTTTCTCAATCTCAGTCCAGAAGTGTGCATGAATCCAGTAACCAATAAATCAAAATCTGAATATAAACAAAATAATGATAGATTTTGTTTTGCCCAATCTATAATACCTGCAAAACTAGCAAGACCTGTAATGTTGTGGATCACAGTTTTCCTGCTTGTAAGAGAAAACGCAACCCTATTTTCTTGGATCACTTTAATCGTTAAACTTAGTTTAACATTCAGAGTGCAGGTCTGTTATAATTTATCTTATTCTTACACGTAGATGAAGTGAAATCTCGTAATTTAAACACCCATTCGACACCTTTTTATATACATGACTGGACACTTGTCTATATAGATTTCAAATATTTGGACAGATTTCTTTGAATTTTATAAACACCATGTTCACTCATTGAACATTTGTCATCACAGCTCCGTTTTAACCGTCTCTGCGATATACAAATTTTCATTTGTATTTTGGGCACCATATTTTGTCTTTATTAGACAGTGTACATAATCCTTAACCAATCAAATTTGTACACAATCTTATTTCAAAAGAAACCAAATATTTTCTGTTTCATATTATCCAAGGTATTCACTGCCCCAATTATTTCAAATGAACAAAAGACTGTAGCACCACATTGTTTCAGAAAATGTACAGCTAGAACATAATGCAGACCACATTATTATATTCTAATGATCAATCAGCATGAATATGGAAATCTTACTTTGTGGCATTGGATGAACCTGTCAACACATTACTGCTACTATTTCAACAGATTACTCAATAAAACATTTTGAAGAGATTTGTCTGCCCACCTGCATTTTGCATAGACTTTCAATTCGTTGATTTTCTTTCTGTACATTGTAGGCTAATCTTTCATAGAGATTAGAGATTATATGGTTACAAGATTTATAATAGTTCTCATCTTTTCTAACCTTACATTTTAATACAAAAAGTGTAATGTTGAAGATTCCTTCTAAAATATAAACTAAAATTATACATTTTGCTTGTAAATACAGATTTTATTCTGTTGGTGTACATCGCACATTATAATCCTTTTGAATGGATGCTGTTGTAGTTAGAAATTGTTTAATAGATTGTGGAGTAAAGTATCACTCACACAATAATAATCACTTAATACATTTTGATGTTGTCTGTAGTTAAAATGTGGAAGTCATTCATTCTTTGGGAATCAATAAAGAACCAACCTACTTAATTTACTCTGGCACTTGTGTAGGTAATTTTAACAGTGTTTGTAAATATTCTCACATTCCTACTTGAACATGCCCATGCATGCCTTCTTTCCTATGCCCCCTCTACCAAAGCACCCCCCTGCCCCTAAAGAACACACCATATAATAACTCTCATTCAGCATACACCACACCAAATCCATTGAACTATTTCACACAGACTACAAACAACACTACTTCCATTTCATAATTCTCACCTCCTACGAAACATAGATCTTCTAATTCAAAATACCCTTCAGACATGCCTGTGCCAATGCTCGTTGCTACTGCAGCATCTGTATCAAGGGACTCCTAGATTTTGAGTCTCAGAGTATTGGAATTTGGCGCTCTCTAAATAGTTACGTCACAAGCCTACCCAGTAGGTTGGCATCTGTTCTCACTTTTCAGTAGCAGAGACTCCGCTGCCACAGCTTTTCGTAACCACCTCCCAGCTGCAATTGCTCTATCTTTGCGTAACTAATGCTCATAATAGTTGCATTCATAAACAATAAATTCTCATTCACTATTTACTTTTGCAAATACATAATATCTAGAAAAAATTTATAATACCGCAAAACAAAAATCTATGTTAAGGTTTTGACAGAAGTACACCTCTTGTGGCATCCTGATACTAAAAATGTATTGGTTTCATTTTTCCTTTCACAAAAATCAACATTCTCAGGTCACTTTGGCGATATTGTAGCTCCCTTCATATTTTCAGATCCATAATTGTATCCTCCTTCAGGTGACTGGAAAGGTAATGCTTTTGTGACTATTAATTAAAATGTCAAGATCAACTTTTTGATACATTTTGACATGGTCATTAATTTTTGGAAGAAGATATATTACTCGTGTGAATAAATTTTTTTTCTTTAAAGGCAAGAAAAGGAAGAAATTGGCATATTGAATAATATGTAGTAAAAAATATTTTTTAACAATTTAAAATAATTTTTAAAATTTTGATTGTGAAAAGCTATTATATATCTTAATTATTAGTACAGTCATAATGTATATATCACCAAAATTTTGAAAATATTCAGTTCGTTGGTTGATGTGAATTGTGTGTCTGAAATGTACATTTGACAAACAAATCTCTATAAAGATTTCTGATAAAGTTTGATTATCTGAATACAAGGGAATCCAATATAAAAATATTCAGCTTCTTTCTATGCGTGAACATGAATATTAACATTTAATATTTTTATGAATGTAAAAAAAAAAATTTATTTAAACTTATAAACATTTGGTTTGTGTAATAATTGCATATGGTTATTTACATGATCCTACAACTGATTTGATTGTTTTTTCAATATTTATCTGTTTGTCTGGGCTACTTACTAATTTCAACTGAATGGGAGAGTATTTTGTTAGGCATAATGAAGACGCCTTCCATAATAATTTTCTATTATATAAAGAACAACGTTTCAGTGTTTGTTTTTTATCCTGCCGGGAAACAATAGAAATTATTATCTACAACATTTTCTAAAACTATCCCGTCTCCCTTTCCTACCCCTTAAGTGTGCACTCTTTCATTTCTCTACAAATGGATCAAAAACAGAGAGTAAATCCACCAAACTTGATTTGAGGATTCTTAAAGCTTGTAAAATAACCTACTAAATGCATTTTAATTCATACCAATAACGCAGTTAGGCTTTGGATAATTGAAGGTCAAAATTGTTGCTAGAAGTTTGAAGGGAGAATGCAGTGATGCATCTGTTTACATCTGCCCTGTGCAATAATGATTGTATCTAACATGGCAGTGTGGAGCCAGCTGAGACTGGGTGTGGTGGAGCAGGGCAAAGTGAAGAGAGACAGGTTGTATTTAGGCAGGTGGGATGTGACATCAGGCAGTACAGGACAGCATAGGGTAGTGAGTGAATACATTATAGAATTCACTCCTTTTCCTAATAGATGATTGTGCTTAATAAATTGCCAGACAATGCCGGGTAATTCAGTTGGGGTTTCCAATATAGTACTGATATTGCACTGGTACTTGTGCGCTTTCTTTGCCTACATGTAAAAGGGTGAAAATAGGGCATACTCGTGTAGTTCTCAGCAAATTCTTTACGACCAATTGTGAATACTTTATCACTATACTAATTTGTGACTGTGTGAGATGTAGTAATTGTTAAATCCAATCTGAGCCCAGATTTTGCAAATATCATTTTGCTACTTTACATGGACAGCTGAACTTCGTCTACTTTCCTAATTTGCAGGCTGCCAGGCAACAACTGGAACGTCTCCCAAGACGGCCAGCACAATCTTCATCATCTGCAAACTCAACAAGTGCTGGAACTGGTTCTACTGCAGCTTCTACTGCTACCGGGGGTCATAGCACTGCTCCATTGGACTCTAATCCATGCCAGTCCACTCAAAACTCGCAGTTTTTATTGTCTAGGCAAGTATTATGAGGATATATTTATTCACATAATAATGGGTGGGTGCACTCTAAAAAGGGATAAGTCAATTTTTGTTCAAAATGAGTAATGCAAGGACATAGCTTTACTACAATACTATCATTGTATATATAGGGGGTTAAGTGACATTTCAACTTTACCATTAAACTTGAATAGCACAGTTGAAATGTCACTTATCCCCCTATACACAATGGTAGTATTGTAGTAAAGCAACTCATGCAAGCATGGACATTAATTTGACTTATTCTGTTTTACATGCCTTCACTAAATGTATATAAACAATCATAAAGGGCAATGTTCTGTATTGAAATGTGTGTGTGTGTTATTTTTATATATATATTTATATATATAATTTGTGATATAATATTTCCAACAAATTCTTCTTTAATTTTTTAATTTAATTTTTTTTTATTTATTTATTATTATTTTATTATTAATTTAATTTAATAAAATTTTAATTTAATTTTTAGAAATCTGGACTCTGAGGTCACTTCTGACTCCCACTAGAGAACACTTTTCTTTTTCTGAAAATATACTGTGATATTTAAATATTGGTTCAACATTAGTATTATTGAATAAACTATAAATTACAGCTTTATTATGCCCATGTAAGTCCAGATTTTTTTTAATTCTGTGAATGAATTGAAATGCATTCACACGCATTTATTTGGAGTAGGAAAGTGGAATATTTCAGATTGCATCACCATTTCTAAAATGTATGCACTATGTAAACGTGTAAAATGTTATATACGGCATAAACATGTACTCCAGCTACACTCACCATATAATGGCTAGTGAGCAGCACCGAGACCTTTCAGAAGTGCCATTTTGACAGAATATTAAATGTCCATCACATCAAACCTGCTCACACATGATTTTGTTTCATTGTAAAATAAATTTAGTCCTGTTCCTTTTTATTGTCTCAGCTGTTGTTAATTCTTTATTTCCAAAAATGTTTTAAATGATTTAAAATATTTCAAAAATTTTCAACAACTAATGTGTAATGTAAATTTTATTTAGAAGTCTTATTTAACCACAATCAAAGGAAAGTAGAGATAGATAAAACTATAAATAAAAGAAACACTAAAGACAACATATTTTATGTAAAATTAAGTCGAAGTGAGAAAATCATGAAAATATTCCAAGTCATCATCTTATTTCCTGTATTTGGTATCGGAACTCACCCCAAACAGTCTAAGGGTTCATATGGCTTATCTAAAAGTTTCTATAATAATATATATTTGCTCAAAACTTGTACTTTATCACATTCTACTTACACAGCAAAGAGTAAGTATTATACGCTGTGGGGGGAAAAAAAAGGCAATTATTTCACCAAAAAACTTATTGTGGGTTATTGAAAAAACAGATAAATCTTGTTCCTGCGTGTTGTAAAGTACTTCCTCTGTCATGTTCAACATTCAGAATTCACATTTTGTGAGTCCTAGATTCTGCGAAACATGAAGCTATTTCATTTAGCATGATGCAATATTTTCAATTTTTTTCAAAATCCGCTCCAAAGTTTTGGATTGATTTGTTTCCTCTGATAGAGCAAAGGATACAAAAAAAGCACAGGTCTCATTTTTGTCTAACTCTTTGAATTTTTGTAAATTGCAAAAACATTTTCGTTGAGTGAAGACTGTTCTCCAAACATCATTAAATAAGATCACAATGAATTTAGCAAAATATGGATAGTTTTTGCTTAATTTTGTTGTAGTAAATGTGGACAAACAATTATTTTTCAAAACGACCAAAATATGCTTAGAAATAATGAGCACCCATTTTTGGTGAATTCTCTGTATTTTTGAAATTTGCAAAAATTAACATGACAAATGTACAGTATTGATGATAGATTTTTTCCTTCATAAAATGTGTTTAAAAAATTAATAAACGATGAACAATTTTTTTGAAAATGCAGGTAATCTGCAAGTAATTTTTGCTTGAAGTAAAAGCAGTTTTACAATCATCACCCTTTCATTTTGAATATGGTTTACTTTTATCAATAGTATGCTTTTTTATGGATTATAAAATTAGGTGTTATTGTAACTTTTTTATTTGTAACAAAATGTCTAATTGATATTTAACTAACAAGATTATTATTATCATTGTCGTCATCATTATCAAGTATCAAGTCAAATTATAATGACCTAACCTTCTTTATTTGCAGATGCAATGACACTTCTCTTTCGGACTCTGAACTCCAATCTGCAGAACAAGAAAGGGCAGATCGCAGTCTTTTTGTGCAAGAGCTTGTATTGTCTACTCTTACTGAAGGCACAGCTGCACTTCTTCTAGATATCTTACCTCAAGAACCATCTGGAGGAAAAAAAGAACATGAAGAATCAGCTTCAAGAGCGAGCCCCAACAGTGAGGGGGCTAGCAGTAGCTCTTGTTCTCCTCGTGCCTCTCCCTCAACTAGTAGCACCAGTAATTTGGGTGCCAGTTCACAACAGCAATCAACGGTGCAACAACCACTTCCCTCTACTAATCTACAGCAGAAAGCTCCAGGCATGTCTGTTTTGAAACGGCCAACTAGAGGATCAGGGGTGGGAAACAGTGGAAGTGGGGGCACAGCAGGTCTTGTGAATTCTGTCTGTGGCAGCAGTCGACAGCAAGCCCAACCATCAGGAGCTTCTTCTTCACTAGGAGTTCAGCAACAGCCCCATGATTTGCGCACTGGAGGCGTCAGAGGCAATAGCGGAAATGCTTTACCAGCCCAGCAAATGCAGTCAGTTAGGGTTTTAACAGGTCCACCCACTATTCGAGAAGTTGTGACACCACCTGGTGTGGTTGGTGGAGGTTATGGAGGTCGGGGTGGTGCAGTGCGAGGTGGTGCTGGCGCTGGGGCAGGTTCACCTGGACCTACCCGAAGGAAGCCTGTGCGGCCTGTGGAAGGAAGAAATCAATCCACTGAGCCTCCACCTCCCCACTAACACTACGCCCATTGTTGCTTTCTAGTCCCGTCATTTAGAAGTTAACCCCTCTCCTTTGCTCCTCCTATGTCCTTTCTCACAATGATCTTTTCTTATTTTTGCCATCCCAGTATGAATTATTCAAAAGTTGGTGAGACTGTTTGAGGGGTGAACTTGTGAGAATAAATTGTATGAAATTAACAATGTCCAATGATGAAGAAGAAAAAGAAGAAGAAGAGGAGGAGGAGGAAGAGGAGAAGGAAATTGGTTTATCGGGCATGTTGAAAGTGTAGCTTTATTAAAGGAATAAAAGCTTTACTGATGCTCGTGACTGCTTTGAATATTTATGCTTGCGATCATATCTCCTAGGTCACTCTGATGGTCAGGAAGTATTGTATGTAATTTGCATAAATTCTGAGTGTTAAAAATGTACAGGGGTTTCTGTTGTCATGTATGGTTATGTATTTAAAAAGTAACTAACATTTATGTGTATTAACTGATATTTAATTAGTATTGCCTCATTTGACTGTTAATAAAAATACATTCAGTACTGTGGTTATATACATATATATACACACACATATATATCCTTCAGTCTGACCAACTTTTGTGGCCTCTTGTATCATAGCTTGTTATATGTGTGCTGTGTGTGTACTTGAAGTTGGTGAGAGAATTTTTCTGGGTAAGAAATCAAATGGCAGAATGAGTTATTTTGGGAATGATGCAGTTGTATTGAATTATTGTTTCATTTTTTGGTGTATTCAAATACACTTTGAAGTACACCAGAAACTGGAGTTTCTCAAAACTTTGCAGGGTGCTCTGCTGAAACAAACATTTTACATAGGATGTAGCTTTCTTTCTACATGGGGGAAAATATTGTTTAATTAAAGTGTAAAAATCAGCCCAAATTTAGTGGGCAGGGTTATTTCTTTTCCATAGTCTGATTAGTTATGCACCTTGCATCAAAATTTACTCTGGTAAGGTGGACATACAGATGTTAACAATCATTATATTGTGCACCACCTGTCCTCAACTGTAGTTATACTATGGATGCCCCTTTGCAACTGTGCTTTACTTCTGTTTGCGTAATTATCTTGGTGGTATCATCAAGGTAATGTAACATTGTCCTATTTTTTTTTTGTTTCTTGAACAATAATAAAGCAGTAATATTATTGGGAATGTTTTTAATTGTTATATTGAACATACATTTGTGTGGTTAGTGTTGTTTGAAGAGTGGTATTAATGAGTTATGAATTATTCTAATAAAGAACAAAAGAACACAAGTACTTGCTTTACAAGAAGTAGGTGCAAGTAAATACTATCATGGTATTAGGTCATAGGTAAAGAAATTTCACCCCTAATCTAGTATGGATCAGTTTCTATTTTGGACCTAACTCTCTCAAATCTAGAAATTAATGAAAATAGTTTTAAAAAATCTATATTTGATAAATGTCACGATTGTAAATTTATTATTACATAACTCTTATTGTCTATCTATATTGAGAACCAGTTACTAAAAAGAAAAGTTCATGCAAAAATCATTTTCACAGCAATGAAGAAATGACAGCCAGCTTATGTCAAAATATGGAAATTAGTGTTTTCCTCTTCCTGGACATGTAGACTCGTGATCTGCGCACCTTCATCCCATTTATTCCTTACCTACTTTGAATAACTGAATTCTACGGATTGAGAACTATCCTCAAAATGGATATTCTCTAGTCAATCAGACAGCATTCAAGCAATTCATTATGTGAATTTGAGATGAATCTCTTAATTTCTAGGAGTAACCTACATCAAATCTATAGGACATTAGAAAATTCTGGTGAATATGGCAAAAGTTAAATGAATAGAATTTGCAATATTTTGGGTTGTGGCAATAATTCAGAAAAATGTGTATTATATGCTTATTTCAATTATTTCTTGCACAGTTTTATAAAAAAAACGTAGGTTTGGGGTAATGTGGAATTACGTTGTGAGAAATAGGTCCCTGGTGTTCCATTGTTATATTTTAGAATTTCGGTGAAACGAGATCATAACGGCCACATCCACGTATGGTCATTTGTCATGGTGGTAATTAATTACCCCATAAGACGTAAATATTCCCACATTTCAGCGATCATCTGGTGCCGTGATCGAGGGTCAGGCCTAGGCCAGATTGTGTCGATTATAGCTATTAACATACCTGGAAATGTTATGAGTGTAATTATTGCCGATGCCAGAAGTTAAAAATCGAGGCGGAGCGTACCAGAGCCGAGATATTTAATATGGACTAGGCAGTAATAACACAAACATTTCGTGGTATGTTCAGCGTTTTGTCGGTCACAATAAAATCGTAATTTTGTTGAGAAAATTTACATTACTGCGATATGAAACGAATTTTGTTGTTGCGGCACGATAATCGATATTGTTGGGAATTGCTTGCGATATATCTATTTTAACAATACACTTGTATACTGTGGCTCGAGGAAGATGGACGCTGAAAATTCGACTGTACATCAACACTATCAATATTTCTTTTTCAAACTACACAATTAATAATGAGCATTCCCCAAAATAATGCGTTTCTTTCATTACTA